CATGCACTGGACAGTGGGTTTCAGAGGACACTGCCACGCAGCCCTCCCGCCACCACCTCCAAAGAAGGGGCCACGGCCGCACATACACCCCGGGCACGCACACGCACACACACTGCTTTATTTTTTTTGTTCGTTTTCTTTTTCTTAGCAAAAAAATAAAAATTTATTGTCCTCTAAAAAAAAAAAAAATCCATCCTGCCCTTGGAAATTGTGACACAGATTGAGTTCTTTTCAGCCCCACATGCAAATTCACTCTGCCAAGAAAAGAGTCTAAACCAGGTTTCCGACAGCCAAAACACATATTTACAGAATACGAGAGCGAGCGCGCGAGAACGACAGCTGAAATCACAGTTCTATACATGGAATCAACAACACAGTTCACACACCACCGATTACCACCGATTCTGCCCACTTTGACACCGACTCGGGGCGCTCCTGCCCAGGGCCCCTTCTCCTGGGGATGGTGGGGAAGAGCCTGGGCAAGACCTGCCCCCAGAAACACTGCAGTGTGCATTAGTATTATTTTTTAAACGTATACTGCATTTATTTTAACATTGGAAGCTACAGAGTGGGGAAGCCCCAGAAATCCCTCCGACGCAGTCACTAGTCTGCACAAATACTTCACTTTTTAAATACTTGTGTGGTTTCTTTTCCCCCCTGTCAGTAATGTCTATGTTTCTGCCGGCTATCGCTCCAAGGATCGTTATAATTCTGGAGGAAAACGCTGTTTCTTTCCTTCCTTCTCAGATGGGGGAAAAGGAGAATAAGGAGATGGGGCGGCTGGTGGGACGGCAGCGCCGGCTGCGTCCGCGCAGCGCCCCGGGCTTCCTCACGCGGGAGGGAAGCCCCTTCGTTGTCTCAGCCGGACAAGCCCCGCAAGTGGCTCAGCTTCAGCTTCGGAGATGCAGGAAAATGTAAAATCTGGGAACGGCAGCCGCTCGGGGAGGCCTCGCTCAAGGGAAATGTTGCAATTCCCCCGGTCCATCCCGTGCGTCCAAGCTGGCATTTGGCCTACGGCGCCTAAGGCCGGGGATGATCCCAAGGCAATGCCAAACGCACCAAACTTCCTCCCTGGCTCTTCCCTACAGCACTGTCCTTGCCCTCGGATATCCAGTTCCCTAAGATATCGTTGCCTTAAGCCACCTGCTTGTAGATTTTGTTTTTCCCATAATAAAGTAGGAACTTTTTTTTGACCTTCAGGAATACTGTGGTCTCGCAGGGCGGTTTAGACTCCTGTCTGCCCCACCTCAGCTCAGGAGCCTCCACAGCCAGTCACAGAGCTCAACACTTCCCAAGGTCCCAGATTTGGGGAGGAAAACAGCGTTATGGAGGCGGAAGTCTCCACAAGCGAGTAGGGAGGGCGAGCGCCCGGACACACACGGGCTTCGCTCAACCGCCTTGGGAAGCAAAACTTGGTTTTGAAGCGCGACTCGGCCAAAAAGGTGCCCTTGGTTGTGGTGTGTTACTTCATGTCCTGCAAAAGGGAGCTTCCCGCTCCGGAAAGAAGCGGGACAGTCTCGTAAAGGGGGATGGATGTGTTAGCACCGGGTTTATTCACACCACGCGCTCGCTGAGCCAGCCCCGAGGCCTCGGCAGCAGCGCGGCCCTTGCTGTAAATCAGGGCGGGCACAAAAGCTCTTTTGCCCTGGCTCTCATCTCCACCTGAGTAAAAACGCTGTCACATAAACAGCCCCCAAAAAGATTCGCAAGAGATCCCAAGATCACCTTTTTTTTTTTTTTTTTCTCCAGGCCTAAGAAAAAAAAATTCACATTTCAGATTTCTAGGAACCTAGATTAAAGAAGGGTTTCGTGAAGAACCAGGGGAAACAGAGACGCGGTCCCGTGTTTGTGCAAAGAGCGCGCGGGGCGACGGGGATGCGCCCGCCCCAGGCTGGTGCGGCTCTGCGGGGAGTGGCAAAAGAGTCAAATTTAAGGGCCACAAGGAGGGAAGCTGCAAGTTCTTTGGTCCTTCAGTATAAGCTTTAAAACAGAGGAACACTGTTTTATTCGAAATGGAAAAAAAAAGGAAAAACGAGCTTTCTCTGGCTTGAAATTTTCTTTGTACCTCCCTGGTTAAGTACTATCCCCCCATGGAAAGTGGGGAATATTATTGGTTCCCCCTTATGACTCCACTGAGCTGCATCACTCCCCAAAGTCCCACTGAGACAGAGGGACAGAGCAGGGGACAAGTTTTGCCCTTGGAGGAGGAGGGAGAAGGTGAAGGAGCCCCCGGGAAGCAGAGGGAAACCCACAGCCAGACCCTGCGGGCAAAAAGGGGCGGCCAGAGACGGCGGTGTCATGAACAACTCCCGGAGAGGCGGGAGAGCAGATAAACCACAACACTAATGGAAAAAAGTGGAAAAAAATAGCCCAAGAGGCTCATGAGCTCCGGTTCTTATAAATATTATAGACCTGATTCAAGAGTTTATTTCCTATGATTTAAGTTAGTTACAAAAAGGTTTTAGTAAATCTTAATTGGGTTTTGCACTCCTCTCTCCTTTTTTTCTGTCTTTTTTTTCTCCTTCCTTGTTTTGTTTCTAAAAAAAAAAAAAAAAAAAAAAAGGAAATGTTCACATATTTTAATAAAAGGTCTTTCCTTAAAAGCAGACCAAGGCAGATGTGCTGCCCCATGGCACAGACATTCAAAGGCTATAACCAAACAACATAGCCACAATAGTCACCCAACAGTGTCTCTCCATAAAAAAAAAAAAAATTAGAAAAACTGATACTAGTTACAATAAAATACACATGGAAAAAAAAGCATTTTTACCGAAAAAAAAAAGTTAATGGGAAAGACATTAAAAAAAGAACTACACAGAGCTGCACTTAAAAGATCATCTGGGAATGCATATAACCCCTTCCATGCAAAGGAAAGGTGGAATTATGGAAGCAAATCTAATTATGTCTTTGCATTAAATATGAAGCTTTCTGAAAGACTCTGGTAACAATTCACTTGTTCCTACAACAACAGCGGGCGGCTGGAGGTTCCAGTGCTTTTCCAGGTCAGGGAAGGACAGCGCGGGCTGCATCCTGCGCAATATAGGATTTAGTCACTTGAGCGGCCTTTTGGTTGAGATCCCAGCAGGTTACTGCAATCCCCCTGATGTGAAAAGCCCATGGAAATGCTGGTGAAGGAAGTCACAGGGAAGCTCCGTTACTAGCCAGGTCTAAGCTGGTGATGTTTCTTTTCCCTGGAGAGGAACTGCACTGGACAAGTGTGGCTGGTACAGGACTAGACTGAGGGATTCTCTCCTTCTTGGCCTTTCTGAAATGATCTAAGGTAGGAAATATCTTGTAGACAAGTAGGGAAAAGATCCTAGTGAAGGGCAAGTCCCCGAGCTCCTTTGCAGGGGGTGCCTGCGGGCAGAACCCACCGAGCAGGTCAGTGAGAGTGGTAGGAGCTGCAAAGGGTGGTAGAAAGTCCCAGGCTCAGGAAAGGAGTCAGCAGAGGAAGAAATAGGAGACAGAGGGATGGATGACCCTGCAATATTCCTCTTGCACTGTGGAGAAGGAAGCCCATTTCTTCTGCTTGGAGTCACTTCTTTCCTCGCTGCTGGGATGAGTTTGGCATTTCTGGAAGCAAGACAGCGCTGGAGCCGAGTGTGCAACCCTCTCCAACGGAGAGCCAGGCTGCTACAGCTCACCAGGACCTGCACGGCCCGGCCAGTGAAGTTGATGAGTTAAGGATTTTTAATAAGCTTTTGAAATTAAAGTCCTTGTCCCTTCTAGTTCTCTCTCCTCAGGAACCAAGTTAACACATGAAACACTGCCACAGCAAATGATCGGACAAATCAGCTTTAGGATTTCTCCATCAGTAATACTTACATATATAAATAAGAATAATGGCTGTGTTTCTAGAGTGGAATGTGTTAATTTGTAGCATGTTTTATGTCAAAGTGAGTAGCAGCTGAGGTCAGGAAGAAGCATCTCCACTGAGGAGCATTGCAAGGCAAGGAATTTACACTTCTCCACTTTCAAGCAAGAATAGATTTATCAGCAGTTTGGTCCATGCTGGGCTTTTCTCTGTCATCACTATTACTAACACGAGGGCTTCGGGACTCTGTAGTCCACAAGCCACCCTTGAGGGGTCAACATCAAGCCTGTTCAACTAAGGTGTCCTCAGACTACCTGGAACTATTCCATGCGTTTCAGCAGTGACTATGAAAGCCACAGGTCGCTGTGGCTAAAAGAAAACTTAGTCTGGTCTGAAGCAGTAGAAGGTCTCTAGACAGCCACCAGATATGGGGGTGCTGGAGAGAACTAACCTGTGCATCAATATTCCTTTCATAAATGGCTTTAGTTGACACAAGGGCAATACTTGTAAGGCTGCTCAAATCTGGAACATCCCAGCTTTAGCAACAATGAACATGTCACTGAATTGTTGGGCCTGGTTTGCTCTAGGTGCAAAATTATTTTTTTCCCTTTTCTTGTTTTCGTACAAATATACAAAGTGTGTGTAAAAAGAAGAAAGACAAACTTTTAAAAACTGAACTTTGCTGTTTAAATGACAGACAAAGTTCCTGCACATTCAGAGACTGGTAATGTGAGCCCCACCAGGCAGGGACTCAGTGCAGCTTCCATCAAAGAGGAGAGCTTTAACCAAGCTGGGTCAATGAAAGAGCAAGGAGACTGAAGACATGAACAAGTCATTTCAATCCACCTCATTCCTCCCTGTGATCTCAACTCTTCCTCTGGAAAGCACATGGAAGCCCCTCTTGCCCACTCAAAATCCTTCTGGAAATAGTCAAAAAATTTGTTATCATCTAAATAGAAAAGAGGAAAAACACAGACTCTTTGCAAACGGCCCTTTGATCTGTATTAAAAACAGCTCTCAAAGTTCCTCAAGAGATAGAATTAGTGGGGCAAGGGTGAGGGGCAGTTTAGATGCGGGTCGTAAAATATTAAAAAGTGCTCTGCAACTAATTTGTTTTATGTGTGTATGTGCGTGTGTGTGTGCGCATATATACATACACAAACATGCACATACACACACTCATATATACATATATATATATACACATACATATATATATGTACACATACATATATATGTACGCATGTATAAAGTTAAAAAGTTCTATACGATATGATTAGACCAAGTGTCCTTGGAAGGTCACGACTGGAGAGAGTGGGGCCTGTTGGGGTGGCAGATGGGGCACTCGCCCTCCTCGGCGCACGTTTCACACAGCACAGCATGTTGGCACGGGAGCACCACGCGGTTCTCCTCCTGACACTTAAGGCATTTCACTGACTGCATCTGAAATACCGCCTGCAAGAGAGGGAGACAGGGCAAAACATAAGCAAAATCTCAAAGGTGAAGGGCTCATGTCCTGTATTAACAAGTTTGGGGAACAGGGAGGAGGCAGCAAGGGAAGGGCTTGCAACTCTTAGTCCATTTTATTGATGTGGACATACATGCACACAAGCACACGTTTTTATACACAAACACATACAGTACAAACATAAAATACATATAAAGAGAAAGTTTGATATCTGTGGAAGTAGAAGCAAAAAGGCTGTAACCTGTGATCCCCTGCACTCACCTTATCAACTTTCTCCAAGTTTGCCCGCAGCTGTTTCTGAAGTGTGTAAAGTGAAGAGAGCGACAGAGTTTCCAGGTCAGAGAAAGAGCGCAGGAATTGAGGGTCCTGGCCTGCATGGATCCTCTCCAGCTCCTCCTGCAGTTTCTTCACTTGCAGCTCCAAGGCTTCCCTCTGCTCACGGGCCAGTTCACATTCTATGTTAGCTGTGTTGGCGCGATCATTTGCTTCTTCTGCCTCCTTTTTCCAAGCATCACAGGCCTGCAAATTCCAGCAGAGAATGCAAAATAAGAATTTTGTTTGAAAGCTTGGTCAGCATGAAAGAGATTATCCTAGGCAAAAATACGCATTTCTGTACACTCCTCTGCAGGAATGTACTCTGTCCTATCTGCCCCACCTCCGAATTCTGAAAGGGCCTTGGAACCTTTTCTTCAAAAGGCTGCACATTCTCGATAACCTCTCCAAGTGGATTTGCAATTCTACATATTTGGCTCACTTGGTTAAGAGAAGGAATTTTGCACACTGGTAAACTGCCAGAGATTTAAGTCAATCACTAGGTCTAGGAGACTCTCAAGCATTTCCATGTAGATGCTATGATATCTGGCCTTACACTTTCAGTATCTGAATGTCAGGCACATTGACTTTTTCTTTCCTAAAGGTAGGAGTGAACAAGAATGCTTAAGAGAATCTCTTTTATAAAACCTATAACCCTTCACACCATCTCAATATCTTGCAAAGACCCCCATTTAAAAGGCTGTCCCAGTCCCTTTTCCTGGAGTTGCCCAGGTACCTGTTTGGCTTGTTTCCAAGACTCTTCCCACTGCTTTATTGTGCTGTTGGCTTCATCCAGTTCTTGTCGTAGCCGTGCCAGCTCCGCAGCACCTGGACCTGACAGAAATGCAGGTGAGGTACTGGGCGAAAAACTCCCCGAAGCAAAGTGTTCCCATATGCTGCTGTTCATCCCATTTAAACCTGTTTCACAGGGAAATAGAGAGGGTTATGTCAAAGGAGCTGGCAATTTCCCCATTTCCTCCCTCCTCGTGACATCCAGGATTCAAAATGTGTGCATTTCAGAAAGAGAAAACTACCTTAAGAATCACTTTCAACCCCAGGACCCAGGAGTCCATCACTGAGAGACTTCATAGGGAGAGTTACACACCTTCAGGCCTCCTCTTTTATAATTCAGGGAGGGACTGAGAAACTCAACAGAGTTTCTTTTGAACCACATTGGTTTGAGAAGCACCTGTGTCACTGCTGATTTGACTAGCAACTCAAATCCCCCTTCTCATATGAGAAGCTCTGAATTGCTTACTACCCTGCCACGTTTCTGTGCAGTGGAGACATTAGTGTTGATGAACAGAGTGTTTTTTGGCTCACATAGATAACTAAGGCAGTGTTTCCTCTCCGATTAAGCTAGTTTTAGACCTTTATATTGTTCTGCTTTTATCTCTTCAACTTGGTCATTCAACTCTCACTTCCCAAATACCCAGATTAAAATGCTCCAGCCTCCAATGTGCTGTTTGCACATGCAAAGATCAGAACTAACTGGAAAACCCTGTTTGGAAAGAACTGGAGGTGGTAGTGTACGTACACCAGCTTCCTTCCCTACTGAGTCCCAGCATAAAGTGACTGGGGCTGGAGGAGGACTAAAAAACCCCTTCCCCAATTCAGTGTGTCCAAATCATTTCCATCCTCAGAACCAACTTCAAAGCTCAGGAGACAAAGGAGTAGAAAACCTGGGGTAAATAAAACTGCCTGTTTTTCTCCACTGAATCTAAAGCACATGCTCTTTTAATAAGACACATTTACTTGAAATAAACACACACAGCCTGTAGTTGAAAGACAACTGATAGGAAAAGCTCATATCCAGAAAGAGCTAGAGAGTGATCCAGACTCCTTTGCACAGACGCACTGGTTTAACAGAGGAGTCATTTTCATTTAAAAAGCTGTTAACCACTGGGCACAGACATTCCTAAATCCAGTTGAATTTGATAAATCAAATTAGCCTAATGGGGTTAGAAACTCATCTCAGAGAAGCCAACCTGACTGTGTCTGTAAGCAAGCCCTGAGGCAAATGGCCTCTCACTGAGTCCAGTAGTAGTAACCTGCTTATCAAACTGCTGCTTCTGAAATGAAAACAAGGCTTTTTAATAAAGTTTTCCTTTTCTTACTGAAACCGGGATGATCCAGCCAGCCTCAACCCTAATTAATAGCAGAGATTTCTTCTGATGTCTCGTTTCTTATAACCGTGATTGTAAAAGTTGTTAAAGCCAAACAAATAGCAACTGCAAAGCATGGAAGCATGGTTTTGTCCTGTGCAAACAAGGGATATAATTACACAGATAAGTGCATGGAACAGCAGGTTACAGAAGCATGCAATAATTTTATTGTGTTAGACTGCGTATTACAGATTAAAGCATATCTAAAATTTGAAGAAACATTTACTTCTAGTAAAGAGAGAACTCATTTATGTCACTAATGCAGAAATCAGCAGAGCAAGTGTTACCAGTGCCTTGGGTCCAAACAGTTTTATTTCTTAAGGAAACCTACAGCTTGATAATAAAACAGATGTGGTCCCTTAGCTCCCAGTTCTGTCAGCTTTGTACTGAGGAAGCTCCATACCAGCTTCCAGGTGCGTTAGGGTCCGTTGTAGAGGAAATGGTCCCTCAAATAGGAAAGAGGTAAAAGGGATGTAGCTGGAGCACTGTAATGTGTTTTTTTGCCAAGTCCACAGTGCAGAACAATCTGTGCAGGGCCCAGACAGCTCTGCTCTCAAGCCAGTCTAGCCTACAAGCATTCCCAATGGCACATTGTAATCCCCAGCTCAACTAAGCCAAGCTGAAGATCCAAAGGCGAATATCAAGAAAGGTGAAATCACAGTACAGCACTGGCAGCAGAAAGGGGCTGAGCTCTTTTCCCCTAAAGGTCATTAATTATCAGAGCAAGTCACAACCTATCTGTCACTGTTTCCTCAGTCTAGAAAAAAGAAGAGAGCACAGAGAGAACTGCTCCCTTGCTCACAAGGCATTAGCTGATTATTGGTAAAACAGCTTCCAGCACTGTTACTGTTCTCACAAGAAAAAGAGGTATAAATGGCAGCAGTGACATAATACATTAAAATTAAAGCTAACTTAAAAGAAAATACTTACATGACACAGACAGGCATGTACATGGGACACACACACTGTGCATTTACCTAATGATCCATGAGAAGCTGATGTCCCCAGGAACGTGTTTTCTGATTGGCTTAAGTGTCCCTGGGGCTGATGGAGGAAATGCGATGAGAGGCTGACCGGTGGAGAAGGAGAGGCAGAGTGAAAGGAGGCAGAGCTTCCGAGGGAGCCGGGGATATTTACAGGAGCAGAACTTTGCAGCAAACTCCCACCTGGACAAAGAACACACAGAGAGGATGGCTATGTATGACCATGAGGTATGGGCTAGAGCACAGCACAGGAGATCAGAGCAGGAGGTCTCAGCTTCCTTCTCTCCTCCCTAAACCCCTGGGACTCCTTCCACTTCTCTGGGTGCTTCACCCCCTTTTAGAAGGAGCTCTGAAGCTGCCATCCCATTAGGCACAGGTGAAGAGACCCTCCAGCACTCAATGGCCTATTTGGTTATGGGCCAAAGCAATGAAAGGTTTTCTGAGCAGAGTTCAGTCCCTCACTGTCTAGAGAAGACAATTTGATATTTTATGAATGGTTTTGAGAGGCAAATTTCACTTCTAAAACATCCTCCTTTGCCTGCAATACCTCCAAATAACCCACAGTGGAAGAAACTACCATGTTCCATGCTGGGTCAGGCCATGACCATAACTAAAGGAAAAAAAGAAAAAAGAAAAAAAAAAAAAAGGTGACTAGCTTCAGACATACTCAAGAGCTCGAATCTACCAGTAATAAACAAAGAGGAGAGAAAATAAATAAACCCCCACCCCAAACCAACCTCCAAGAACATTTCCCCTCCCTTACACAAGAGGTCAGTCCACCTGCCACGTGCAGGGATATCTCAGCTCTGCTCTCCACTCTTCCCATCTCCCTTCTCAGAAGGATACCAGTTAACATGCAGATGTGGAGGGAACAGACTGTCCACACTGCTTTTCCCTCTAAGCCACTGCAGATACAAGCGGCATAAGCTGGGCTATCAGCATAAATACAGAGTAAATTCCCTGATGAGGTTGCTGATCCTTGGCAGGGAAATGGAAATGATACATTTTTAAGTGCTCCTTCCACAGGACACCTTTCGTACTGCAATACAATGTCTAGCAGTAGTTCCCTTGGCAACGACTCAGACAACCAGTGTTAGCTCCCATTCCAAACCTGTCTCACAGACCCAGGGTAGTCAGAAACTGCAGCCACTTCCAAAAATCTACAAGAGGCTTCGCTTTTCCCCTGGACGCTCACTAAAGACAGGTAAGAGGCACCTAAATTCTACATGTTAAGGCACCAAATCAGCAGATTGTGGTGATGCCCTGTGACAGACGGACAGCGTTCCCAGGTCAGTGAGTTTCCTGTTATCATTAGGGAGAATTTTCTGCTTACGATGCAAATTGTTATACTTTGGCCTGGTTTTAGAAGCCATCAGATGCTCTCTAGATTCTACTTGCACACTAAAAAAATAAAACACAAGAAATCAAGCAAGTCCCGTTCAGTCTCAAGAAACATCCCCAAGACACCTGGGCCCAATGGCAAGAACTCAGCTCTGCTTGTCAGCAAGGGAACATTTGCACTTGGAAGATGCTCAGTGGTTGCCAGCTTGTTACAATTGCTGTTTTAACTAATCAGGTTTATTTGGGGGTTCAATTTACAGCTCTACTGGGCTGGCTCCATTTAGGTGACTGGACAACACTGCTTGGCAGAAGATAAAGAAAGCTCTGTTGCTTTCATATACCTATCATGATGCCACTTGTGTGGGGCACTGTGCTGCTGTCAAATGTCTTCTCCAGGGCAGCCACTCCGAATTCATTCAGGTCCAGGTCATCCAAGGCAGACTCTGCCAGACACAGAGGTACCAATTATGTTATAAAGGACCAACAACTTCAAGAGACAGGATGGCCCAAAGAGCCTACATACAGAGGAGCCTCTGCTGGCTGCCTGCCACTCTGCACAGCCTCATTCTCCATCCTGTGCAACGCTGCCATGGTAGGATTTGGCAGAAGCACCACGGGCAGCTTTGCAGCTCAGGTTCTTCTGCCTGATCTGACTTTCCAAGGTTTTGTCTCAAAGTATTCCCAAATGTTAAACATAAATAAAAAGAATTGATGAAATAACAGTGGTCCCCACAAATCTTCCCCAAACTGCTCTTTTGAGGCTGTATAACACGCAAGAACACTGGCCTATGACATGTCTGAACCTGGCTGATGCTTTGCCACTACTTTGCTGAAGAGCCACTCGGGAAAGGAATACCAGCAGAGGGGAACACTGCTAAATATCACTTCTGAGGTTCAAAGGGAAAATAAAGCAGCTTATGCAATACCCACAAACATTGTAACTATTTGAACGTGTCTCATCACTAATCTCGATCAATATAACTTCATCCCACACAGGCCCACTCATCACTATTAATATTTTTAATCAATGTAATGACTTCACCTCAGAAACATCAGATCATAGAACAGGTTACCAAAAACCTGCACCTATCTAAAAGGAGTGATTCTTCCCTCCGGAGTCTCCTGTTCTCCTTTTTCCTCACAGCCTCCATCCCACACCCTGTGAAGGGCAAGTCCTCGCAAGCTACCTGGTGGCCATCCTTACTATAAAATTGTCAGAAACCTCCCAGAGATTTCCTGCTTGCTCCAAATCCTCTTTGCCACTCTAACAAACCTAGACTTACGGCTCTTTATACCATCTGACCCCCTGAATGCAGAATAAGGGGCACACCGGCCTTCTTGTTGGTCCTCTGGGTTCATTTCATCCATAATGTCCCACAGAAAGTGTCAAATGTGATAACAGTCACAGATAAGAGTCTTGAAGCCTGTGGCTTCAAGAATCTGCCAACACCCAAACCCACAACAAGCTGGAATTCACTGTGACATCCACGCAATTCCAGTTCTCAGACCTGGAGACCCACATCTGAGAAAGCCCTGTTAGTATAAGTAAAAAAGGCAGAGTTACCTATGACAGATTCAACAGTGTCACTGGTTGGGTAGAAAGGGAGGGCATTGGCATTCATTCCTGGTATGCTGCTGGTGCCAGCAGGGCTTGGTGGTGTTGCAGCCAGGCTGGAGGTGATACTGGAGGAGATGCTGGATGTCAGCGGGCTCCCCACGGGGAGAATCCCTAGTATGTCCTGAGAAAAGAGAGTTTTAACAGGGAAAGGGATAAGAAATGAAACATCTCTATAGAAAAAAAATCCCATTTTCTATGGGATTTCTATGTTCCCCACACGCAGGAATGAGCCAAAGATCAGCAGCAAACTTGTTCCTGCCTGTGTCCAACCTGACAGATGGCTGGTGCTGCCACTGGGCTGGGGGTGGGGGAAAGATTAACAGCTTTTCTTTAATTTCTGCCAACTGTTTCTTTTCAGTATTACAGAGATCCTTCAGGATGCCTCAGAATTAACTCTCGTGACCCACAGGTTGCATGCAATCATAGGCATAGGCCATACAATCGCTCACTTAGACTTAGCTCAAAACATGATTTAGAGCATGATATTAAATTCTCTTTGTTGGATCCTTGAACTTAGACGACTCTAGAGATCCATCCCAGCTTTATTTTCTGTAATGTAGAGACTCTGACACAGGCCAGACCCACGAATCTATCTTGAATTTGTGCAAGCATAACCATTCACAAATAACCCCTCCAGCCCCCATCCCTCCTTCGTAAAGTTGAGCACTCCCAACAGTGTCTAAATTGTCATTTTTCCCTGCAGAGTTGCCTGGATCCACAGAGCTTTCTAGTATCCTTGGATAGAGGGGGGAGCACCCAGCCAAGCTCAGAGCCCTCCTGGCTGTACCTTACCTGTTTGGGCTGTAGCAAAGGTTGCTCTTGGCTCCTGTGTTCCAGTGAATGGGATTTCATTTTTGCTTGCTGCAGTAAGTGAACAGAACAAAACAAAAATCAAATTTAATTTTGATTAGCAGCAAAATTAGAAATGGCTAACTGCTGGCTTTGGAGTAGCCATAGGAAACATGGCCTCCTCTCTTGCAGCTTGCCCTGGACACTAGAGAACTCGCAGAGCAGGAGAGCAGAGCAAACTGGGAACATCCCAAGCAATCTGCATCCCATCCATCAAGACATCCCCCTTAGAGTGACGCAAAGATTTGTCACAATCACATTGGCCTTCAACGCTGCTAGTCCCCTGCTAACACAAAGGACATTTTAAGAACCATGACCAAAACTGAATATTTTGCCTGGATGCAAATAACTCATGAGCCCTACCAGCATCCAGGGAAGAGAAGCAGAACTGGAGAGGAGAAGCAGAACTGGAGAGAGGCACACACTGTACACACATGTATACATGTAGGCACAGGCACACATGTGTAAGTATTTTTTTTCCAACTTTGGGAAAATAAAACATGCAGGTTATTTGGTTATTTTTCTTCCAACTTCTTTAGCTCCCAACTAGGACTAAATAAGCTATAGAAGAATGGAACGAGTAGCCTCAAGAACACACACACAAAAAAAGGGAAGAATCAGGACAAAACCTGCAAATTTCCTTTGATTAGTTATGCTTCATTTTTTCTTAATGACAATCTTAGAAACAACAAAAAAAAATCCAAGTTAATTAAAAAAAGCCTCCCACATCTTTGTAGCTTAGTGCTACAAAACGTAAGTGAGGTCAATGCTGGCTGCAATTTCAAAACTGCACAAATGCCAACACGTACTTAAGAGTTCCACTACCCAGCATAACAATTAAGTTTAAGGACCTTCCTGTGCTGTGTCCTTAACGGATTCCAGCCCTCTTGCCTCAAGCCACCAGCCTGTTCTCAGCTACAGAAACCAGACTTGGGAAGGAAGTGGCCCCAAGAGCTTGTCACTGTGTAACGGTCTGGTCAGAAGACCTCGTTTCTCTGCAGCTGCTGCATCCGAGACAGAGGGAAAGGGGAGGTAAATCACTCCTTCCAGGCACAGAAAGTGCCTGCCATGACTCAGGTCTGCTCATTTACTGCCCTCTCCTACCCACCCCAGCAGAACTGGAGGAACAGGCCGGGCACAGAGGGTCTGCCCAGGCATCTCTAACGCAGGCAGGCACCGGATCAGCAGGGGAGGGCAGGCACGACGCGCGGCAGCAGCACACGAGCCAGCACTGACGTGATGCACCTCGTCTCTTTGGCTTAAGCCACCTTATAAAAATACCAAATAAGCTAAGGAGGGACCAAATATTCATGCAGACAAGTGAGCAGCAGCAGAATTGATCCCTTGTTTTACTTAGTTAAATCATTTTCTCTATTTAACTGTGCACTATGAGGAGATATGGGATGGAGGGAGGGGGGTGAAGGCAAGTAAGTGGCTGAGATGCAGACACTGTGACCCTGTACCAGGTGCTCTAGGCATCCCTGCTTGGGCAGGGGGGTTGGACTAGCTGATCTTTAGAGGTCCCTTCCAACCTGAACCGTTCTGCGAGTCTGTGAGTGTCACTTAGCCGCACGTCCTTAGCGTGCGCACGTGCGGCAGAGTCACTGCCCACGACCAGCTTGCCCTGCTCTGTGTGTGCAGATGAGCTCCGTGAGCGCATCTGTGTGTGTGTGATAACACCCCTGCGGGATGATCCAGCACGTCCCTCCCCTCTCGACGCGCGTCTGAACACAAGATGTTGCTACCAGACGTCAGCAGCCAACGCGGAGGCGCACGCGGGCACCCCCCGCGAGGCAGCCTGCCAACGGGGCTGGCACCGGTGCCGCCAAGCCCTGCTGAAAGCCACAGAAAGAGAGGAAAACAAAACAGCTCCCTAGCCCCCTCCCTGCTCTGAGCTAGTCCCAAAATCCATGTAATACCCGTGTAAAAACGAGCACACTGATTCTTCCCTTCAAGACAATCTCCCTTAGCTCTGAACATGAAGGGCAAATATCAACACAAATGCAAAGGGTGCGCTCTGCTCGCAGAGCCCTGCTGCAGGCAGGGAAAGAAAAAAAGGAAGGGTTAATTATGGATGAAACTGAGTATTGTATGGCCAGTATGGGACAAAGCTAGTGTATTTTGGGTGCAGACTTGGGAACACCTTCTGGTCATGGCTCTCCAGACCCTCCAGCAAAGCCAGCACACTTTCCAGCTTGCTACAGCTTTTGAGGCTTTGAAAAAGCATTTTTAGCCTTAACTACCAGCTCAGACTTATCACAAGGCTATATGGAACCAGTTAACACAAAAGGTGCCTCTCTCATTCTAATATATAGAAACTATTTGTATCATGAAACTTTACAACCCTATTGCAGACCTGAGCAGGAATCTCCCGCATTTCCATGAGTGGTGAGGCAAGGTGCCTAATTATTGGGCTAATTTAATAATTTAACGGCTATATGAGAATCTCTGGTGCCCACTGCAGCCAAAGGAAATTAAAGAAGATTAAAAAAAAAAAAAAGTAATTATAGATTAAAACAAAATTTAAAAACAGGCCATTTATGAGAGACCTAATTTTGTACTTAGAAGTCTAGCACAAGGCAACTGTGATTACACCTGTCTGTATCCTGATAGCTATTTATTCCAGTCATTTAACACAGCCTTTTTTACTTAATTAAAAGCCACATGAGTAAGGAGACACCTGAACACAGTATCTTTGCAGCACAGCCTCAACCCGAGCTGTAAATGCTCATCCTCTGGCCCTGTTTTTAAAAGCCCTATTCATGCTCCATCCCCTTCTCCTCAGCTTCGGCTTCCTGCCCAGTTTCTCCGAGCAGGGCCTCCCTGGCACCCTGCCTGGCTGGCAGGACCCAGGGGTTCTCTTGTCCTCCAGCTTTGGGTTGTCTCCTCCTTTGCAGCAAAGGCACATTTTTTTTTCTTTTGTTTCTAAAGAACCGCCACAAACTCCTGTGCCCACCAGAAGCACCAGGATCCCAGTGTGGTTTGCACTTCTCCTGCAAGAACACGTTGCTTCAATGTGTAATTTCCTAAGTCACGTCCATATTAAGCAAAACAATAAAAGCATTTATAGGACAGCCTACATGCACACAGCTTAATCTCTATCTGTCAGTAAATCACTCTAATTAGACCAAATGGTGTTCAAGGCTGATCCTACTGCAAAGTTGCAGCATGGTATTTTCCCAAAGTTGTAGGAACAAATAAATGAAGCAAGTCTCAAAGCCTGCTTCCAAACTCAACCACTTTCTGTGAGATCTTGTCTGGGCAGAATATTTCCTCTGTTTTCCCACAGCAGTGCAATACAAATAAAGCAATGCAAGCATAAGCTTAATAGGGCTAGTTTCTTTAATAATGCAGACAGGAGTTTAAACGAAGCCAAGTTGAAAGCAACATTTCTGGCCAACTCTGTTTCCAGCAATGCAGAAAAACTCCTCAATTTAGAGGAAGGAATGGCTATTTTTATAAAGAGGTGTCTGCACAAAATATGTTCTCCAAGAAAAAAACAAATCTATTACTTCTACAAACCCATTTAGAAGTAATAACAGGGTCTCAACTCTAGTTTGGCCACAGTTGACTTGGAAGGGATGGTACAGAGAAACTACTGGCTTTAACATCAAGAAAGGCTGTTCACTGAAAACAAATTATCACTGTGCAAAAAGTTCATGTAAGAGATGGAAGAGATTGTTCTAGGCTTAGGGAGTAGTTTGAATAAGGCATTACACAGAGAAGGGTCAACTGAGAAATCGGTAAGGCAAGATGACTGGGGTATCCAGAAGGGATAAGAGGGAACGTCAGATATCGGTTGGGTAAGACTATGAAGATTCTTCAAACAAAAAGAGGAATTTAAGTTTAATACAGAAACCAAGGGAGAGACACAAGGAGCTGGGAGAAGAAAGAGACAGCTAACATGGCATTTCAACTGAAGAAATGAATGGTGAAAACGGCAGACAAACCAAAGTCATGGAGATCAAGGTAAGAGTTCAGAGTGAGAACAGAGAGGAAAGGATGAGTTTCCATACAGCAAGGCCAGCAACTCTTGGCAAGGACTTGAACATGGGAAAAAGAAAGAGCAAGAAGTGATATGCAGGAAGCTACCCAGGGTCAACGCAAGACAGAAGTAGTTGGGAGTCAGGAGGAAGGAAAAAAAGAAAGAAAAAGACAGCTCAACTTTTACAAAGTGTGACAGTAGTTAGGCAGACAAGAACAGATGTAAGACGGAAGAGACTAAGAGAGAAGTTGAAAGTAACATCTCATGACTGCTAATGGGAGTGGTGCTTTCTCCTTTTTGTTCCTTGAAAAACAGAAATACATTCAAGCTAGACTGGGCAAATCGTCAGTCGTCTTCCTCCCCCCTCAGACTCCTCCAGCCAATGGTCCCTACTAACCTGGCATTTGAAACTCTTCAAATACTCGGCCCCCACCTGATCTTCTCGCTCAAACCCAGGTGCTTTCTTGTAGCTGCCGGCTGCTGTTACTGAGTCTGGAGGAAAACCAATGCTCTCCAAGCTGTGTGGTTTTCCAATGGCGCCAGGAGGGGACCCACATATATTAGAAGGACTTCCGAGACTGCTGTTCCTACAAAGAATCTAACAGAAGGAACAAGTGTCAGGAAAGTGCAGAGAGGCAGCAGCACAGACTCAAAGAGGAGAGGCGCCTCAGGGACTAGCTCATTCACTTCACTGTTTGAGCGCTGATTTTACTGATAGTCAAGACAAGTGTAAAAGCTTCTAGTAAACAGCAACTAAAAACTGGAAAAACAGAAGATACAGGATTTATGCGGTCCCACAATTACAGCTTTGTCATTGTTTTGTACTGGAGTGTAGATATCTAAAAGCTAAACTACAGCTCTACAAACATTCACTCTGAGGCCTCAGATGTGGCTGATCATGCTCCCAAACATGCCCAGAACTCTCTTTGCTTTCCTTAAGCTACAGCATGATGTGGATCCTGTCTATACTCTGAGAAGCAGAATGAAACCTGGAAAGGCGTTGTGGCAGTCAGGCACATCTGAGCCACATGTAATATTGTAGTTTCAACTTTGGAGTTGAAAGTTTTAATGCAGGCACAGCAAAGCACCTACAACTGCATTAAAAAAAAGGGAAGGAAAATACCCAGAAGAATTTTAAACCATTCTATTCTTTGGATCGTAACCAGGGATCATAAACACATGCAACAAGGCTAGTTTTGCACTGTAGATGAAGCCACAGACAGCATCAAAGGAGATTTAAGGCAAGTTTTATCAGGATTAAAGCAATATCTCATTTCTCTGGGAGAGAAATTATTTGCCAACGTTGGCAAGAATGACTGTGCTTCAAACAACATTTACAACTGTTATTGCTACGACACATTCAAACGTAGCACAGTCTGGTCTGGCATTAGAAAGAGGGAGCATGCTGGGAGCATCCTACAATGTTTTGCTTTTATTTTTATACATTCTGCTGTCCGCGTTTCCCTACAGTTGCAAACTTACTACTCACTGTGGTGGAGGTGGGGCTAGTTGGCAGAGTTCCTGTTTTATTCCACACCTACAGTACAAATACAAAACAGAACAGGGCACGTGAGGCTTGCTGCCAGAGGGACCGTCTCCTTTGATTAATTAATCATGTAAAATGATCACCAGCAAAGCCATATTTGTTTGCAAGCTACATGCAGATGCCCTGTGTAAGTGATGAAGTCACAGAAAGAAATGTGCTGCCACTTGGCTTATATTCAAAGATTAGGAAGGACTGTTTAAAAGACTAAAGAGCTTGAGAGAGAGAAGACACAGTCTAAGTGCAAATAGTTCTTCAGTTTCCTCGCAATTTTTCAGAGCATTTAGATGACACAATCCTAAGATGAAGGGTTTTCGTTGTTGCTGTTTTACTTCATTCCACTGTGTTATTTACCGAGAGAAAAGAGCACATCTAGTCTTTTCAAGATCTATTAAGAAATCTAGTTGCAATCAAATCCAGGAGAATGATTAACTGTTAAGTTGGCTTTAGTGCTAGCAGGTCAAAACATCAGTTTTCCTTTTCAAAGAGAGCTAGTAGGATACAATGGAAATCCTAAATGAGTTTACCTCATCAGTTTCAAATGACTTAAGGTCATGTCATTTTATCTTCTCAACATCTCAACCATTTTGAAACTTTATATGCTTCAACAACAGAATAAATAAGAAGAGACTACATCATAACTAACAAAACAAAAAAAAATCCTTAGCAAAAATCAAGTAGCCCATCATTCCACAAACATGTAACCTGTGTGTATCTGTTTAGCAGTTCAAAATCTCTGCTCTTGTTCATACAACTAAAATAAAGTAGCTACTAACACTTTGGGGCTTAAAGATATTGCAGACTTTAACCACCTCCAGGAGGAGGACAGGGAAGGAATCAAGGATATCCTATAATGTAGCACATAATACACACAGGATAAGCCTCTGAGATTACGTATGCAAACAAACTCAACTGTCGTTATGTACTTTAGACTGTGTTGGCTCATTTAATGAGAGCGCTTGGAAGCTGAGCCCAGTATGTACCTCCAGACAAGGGCCTGAACTAGACGTACAGATGCATTCCACTTTCTTGAAAGTATATCAACAAATTCTGCACAGAAAGGAAGGCTTAGAAATTTCCTAGGTGAGGACAAAGGATCTAGGGACCAAAACCACTGAATACTGCAGTACTGTATAGCATATACTGCAAACAGACTCCTCTAAAAAGTGTGGAGCAGAGCTTTAGCATGGAAGTCCTTTGTGCTTTTAGATTTTTTCTCTAAAAAAAAACAATGACTCAGAAATGCAGTTTTGTAAAGGAGGGACAGGGCTTCCCTGCAGTGCTACCTACATTGCTCAGGTCTGGGGCATGGGGACTGGAAGGGCTGACTGGAACGGAATCCCCGGCGGCTGAGGGCATGTACATCACGGGGCCCGGCTGCGTTGGGCTCGACACAGCTGAGGATTGCTGCAAATCTTCATTCAGAGGAGGCTCTGGAAGAAATAAAAAGCACGTGAAACATCATTTAGAGCTGCACCATTGCAATGGACTATAGGATAGTTCAGAACAAGAATAGCTAGATACTCTCGAGAAAAGAAATATTCCACTGACGCCTACTTACAAGTCATATAAAAACAAGGAAAAATCTTCTCTGGCAAATGAATACTTATCTGATATTCCTCACATTATTACCATCACTACTTGTGCAATCTGCTGCTCTTCAGCCTGTTAATGCTGTTCCAAAATTATCTTTCCTGAGCGAATTGCGTGTTCATTCAGCTGTCCTGAACTAAGCAGAGCTTCCTTCTTTGCTAGGCACAAAGCTGATGGGTGTGTTATAATTAGCTGAGGAAGCTAAGTTTCCATCTGCTCCCGGTACAGACCATTACAAAAAAAGTAACAAACACAGAAAGGCATACAAGTGCCAAGAACACAAAAAGAAAATGTCACGAGCTTGGGGAGGGGAGTATAAATGCTGTAGGGCTATAATATTTACATCTAATATAACTCATTCTCTTTATAAAAGCTAGAGGACAAATCTAATGCCTGTATTGCAATACCTTAAAAGCACTGATTACAGTTTTAAATTTCTATATATGTCTTGTCAATAAGCAGCAAAATTCATGCTGAGATCACATGAAATAAGTGGACTCCTGTTATTGTATGTCAGTTAAGTCCTCAATGTTTGAGGAGAGGACTAGAAGATACAGCTCTCTAGAAAGCCACAAAAAAAAAAAAAACCCATCATGGAGTACTAAGTGGTTACTATGGCTTTAAAGAAATACAATATCGAGTACAGTAATCTAGTTTATGAATAAAGCATTTCCTAAACAAAAATACTATGCTATATTCAAGGGATTTTTTTGAACACTGTTTCTTTACTAATATCTCATTCTCTCTTAAGCTCGCTGGATCATACTGTGAGGTTGCACTATGGGCATTATAGCCCACAGCCCTCACTATAATTACTGCTTGACTACCAGGTTTCCTATAAAAGCAACTCTGTAAATAGTAGTGGATTTACCCTCACCACTCCTTGACAAAAGCAGCAGTTACTAATCCCACCAATTACCAAGGATAATCAAATAGCAGTGAGATGTGCTCAAGGCCATGAAGTGAGTCAGTATCAGAGCCCATCTAGTGACTTACAACCAACCTGTTCTAATTACTGCAAATTCTACACTGAAACCAGAAACTGAATAGGAGCCGTAGGAGGGCTGGGAGCTAAGCAATATCTGCAAATGGTGATAGACACCTGAATACAGAATTCTCATGACAAAATAGCATCGGTAGTTTACAGATGATGAAAACGAAGACTGAAATTGAAATAACTTGCTATAAATTAGACATCTAGTGAAACGGAATGAAGATTTGAGGAAAAGTAGACAAAAAGTAGGCGATTTTTCTTCTCCATCTTCGTTAAGGATTTATGCTCCAAGTAAAACAATAAAAATAGTAAAATGAGCACCTTGTCTGTAGCAGCTAGCTTTTCACAAGACACTTTGCAACTTAGCTACGTCACAGTCCAAGTTCTATAGAAGCAGCTCTCGTTTTGTGTCATAGACTTAAGCTCTGACACGCAGAGAGCCGAGCGAGCGAGAGACAGGAGGAGAGAGGCTTCACGACACAATAAAACGAGAGCCAAGGGCCGAGCCCTACAAAACACCTACTGCCTTCAGCTCTGATAACAGCTCCCAAAATAGCATGTTCATAGTAATAATAAAAGTTGAAGGGTTTTCAAAATCGAGGTAGGCTGAAGGGCACAAAGGAGAGCTTTCATGCTATCTAGTCCAGCCAGAAGCCCTCCACAGCTCAAACATTCCTGAAAGATGAGAGAAGTGGCCACGTACGTTCTACATGTGCAAAGGCACAGAAGGGTCCTCGGGGACAGCTGCCAGACTGCTGCATGTCATTGCACTTGGTGGATTTGTAGATCTGGGGATGGGAAAAAAAAATAAAACAGACATGAACACGAAAACCAGTGACCAGCAGCCCAGGTATCAAGAGTACTGAGAAGAGACTCAACAGCAAGATAGACATGCAGGCAAAAGGCACAGAGGCCAGCAGATTTCAGGGTGATCATTTCAATGCTTTGAAGAAAAGAGAACCCACAATAGTTATGAAGATGGCAAAATTTGCCCCAAACTGCTGAGCTCACCCAAAGATCACCCAAAACTCACCATTTGCCATAAAATCCCTCCATCTCCCTAGCAGCAACACAGATATAAAAATGGACCAAGGTAGTAAATAGTTGATAGATGACAGCACAGAAAGCTATAGCCACATGTTTGCAAGGGTAGTGACAAACAGTTGGCAGTGATTGTAGGAAATGGATTGTTCCCCTTCCCCCCAGTTTGGCAGGCGGTGACTACAGTTATTTTGCTGATACACCTCAAACAAAGTTTTCAACACTGTAACATGAAGCAGACTGGGACAAGGTCTAAATCACACTTTCTGTAAGGATAACAAAATGCTCTGGGTCTGCCCACATTAGCAGCTGGGCAGTTTTTAGCGATAGTTCATGGATATCTGTGGCTTGGTGTGATTTTCATCAACCAAAAATGTTTTAAATGAAAAAAGATGGTGTATGCTCATCTGCAGACGCACTCCCCGCTTTTAAAGGGCCCCGACCCACGAGTCCACTCTCCCCATACTGTTCTCATCTCCTCCCTTAAGTTCTGCCTAAAGAAAAGGCCCCCTGTCAAGCAGCTCAGCTTCCAATGACTTCCAACACACAGTTTTTCTGTATCCCAGCACCACACTGCAAGCAGCCCATATATTCTCCTAGACAAACACATCTCATAAGGCTGGAATGTTTTTGCTTTTCTAGTAAACAGACCACACAGGTTACGGTACCTCCGGGTGGAACTGCTGCTCTGTGCGAGTGTGGCAGTATTGGCATGAGTCTCCGTTCTCGCACTTACTGGGATCTCCCCACTCATCTCCATGCTTCACACTTGGACACGGTGAAGATCTGTTTAAACAAGGCAACAGTGGAAAGCATCAGACATGTTTTTTTGAGCTTTGCTTCCTCAGCTGGCAGCCAGGTTCAGTTGCCCCCCTTTGCTGTGCACCGTTTGCCTGGCTGCTGCTTCCCCAGCCTCCATCCTGCTACTACTGCATCTTCCCCCTCCTCCAATTTTCTAATGAAAGAAACACAGTTTAACTCTCCATCTGAAACAGAATACAACTTGAACCATCCTAGCTTAACCATATTAGCCACTGATGTGATTAGTGTCAGAGATGCTGGGTCTGTCTTCTGTTTTGGAACTGTACATTCATAGAAAGCTAATAAGTTAATTGGCTAATCCCGAAACACATAATGCCCTTACACTGCTATGTTTCCAGGGTTATAGTGTGGCCATGTGGAAAAGAGGCTGAGTCAGGTCACTGGGGAAAAGGCAAACCCATTTCCTTTCTCCCAGCTGGGAACCAGTTCTGTTTCCCAGGTCTGATTTTTTTTTTCTCTGTGACCTACTTCCCCTGCTCTTCTTGCTCTTACCCATTCCCTCGAACAACAGCAGAGGGAAGCAGATAGCAGCAGCAGAAGCCTGCACAGAAGAGGCAGCCACATCAGCTGGGGGTGGGGAAAAGCCACACAGAAGTGAATGGAGATCTGAAGGCAAGAAACCTTCACCTCTTCCCTCCTCAAAGGCCCCAGAGAGGGACAGAAAGCAGATGGCTTTTGCCTAAGGTTTCCGTTTCTACTGCTGCCGTTGGGATTCATGTTTCTCCAATTTTTATTTTTATTATTATTATTTTTTTTACACAAGATTTCAGTACCAGTTAAAGAATTTCTGCAAGTCTTAGGGGTGGGGAAGGGAAGTGAGAACCTCCATGGTATTTTCTCTTCCAGCTTTCTGGTCTGCTCTCACTTTTTTTTTTTCAGAAAGGAACTAAGGAAAAGCCCCACTGAGATCACAACAAAAGCTCTGTTGTGTTAGAGGAAACGAGGACCTGTAACTTGGACAAAATGTGTTTGGGGAGAGGCAGTACGCTGAAAAATCCAGCGGCAGCTGAGTGACAAGAACACCCTGGTGCCTCAAAAGCAAATCTGCAGCAGTTGGTTAGGAATGCATGTCCAGCTACAGCACTCATCACACTGTGCCTCACAATCCCCATCACCAGGCACACACAAGCAGGTTGTTGATTCTGAATCTTTTACCCATGAAACCACTGCTTGTTTCTACATGGGAAATAAATCCTTCTTTTGTTTTCTTTCCCCTGAACTTCTTGTTTTAAAAAACAGGAGGTTATAAAGTAAGCAGGGAAATTAGACACGGGTTCTGTTCACTGTAAAACCAGAAACGTAACATGATTTGGTAGCATAGTTATCAGAGATGTTGGTTCTTATATAATGCAAAACTCCCAACTTAGTGTTCCTAAGCAGGAGTCCTTTAGGTCTGTCAGTACATGCCTTAAAGATGCACTAAAAACTATTGAGTGGAGCAAATACTAGAACCTTCCTTACAGACCTCTTCTACACCTCACCACTCAGCTGGGAAACAGAAGACCCAGGAGCAGGGTACCTGTATTTGTGTTTTCTTGGGCTTCTTCTTCTATCTTTGCTATTGTGGTAGTAGGGACAGGCATAACCCTGGCGACAGAGACGAGGGGGTTTCTTACATTGCTCTGTCTTGTAATTTCCCAACACGTATGTTGTATCTGTGAAAGAAGCAACTGGTTAGCGGGAGATCACTATGATCTGTATTTATTATACAAAAGCATTTGATGGGAGCAAGCACTGCATGAACACCAGACCTCCCCAGCCCCACGGCGCTCGAGAGACCCACCTTGCCACCTTGGCTCCTCGCTGAGTATTTTCTCTATCATTGCATGGCTAGCAGCAACTGCAGACTGGCCCTCTATGCCACCTTCTGATGTCGTCTGGCCATTCTGCAAAGCTTCCATGGCCTGAAGCTCCCTTCGAGGAGACAGTTCAATGAACAAGAGAGAGAATATGAAGAAACAGATAAATATGTATAAAACTGTAACAAACTGGAGTACAGTAGCAATTCCTAAGGGAGTGCATTTCATTCGGGCTTTTTTTGCAACACCATCCTCATTCAAACAGCACCTGCAACACATGCTTTTCCTTCCCATGGAATTCCAGATTAATTATCTAGACCCTACCAGGCTCCCAGCCACAGCACAACTATTCTAAGGTGAGGCTCCTTCCCCCAGCTTTTGATTATCCTCCTTGGAGATTTTGTAGATTGGCTTTGTCAGGAAGAGATATACTGTCATCACCCCGACACGAAGAACTTCGCTCTGAAGTGCTGCTCTCCTCCAATCACCTGCCTTTCGATTCGAGCCCAGCAATTACCCTTTCCACACCGAGCCCGGACAGTCGCTAACCTGATATCGTAAACCGGAGAGCGCAGGTCATGGGGCCCGTGAGCAAAGGCGCAGTGGACTCCGTTCTTTGTGCAGTTTCCCTTGGAGTCCGTCTCATGGATGCAGATTCCAGTTTTGTAGTAGCGCAAGTGATATCGCCTCTCCGTGTCCCCGGTGGTTCTGTGCAAGAATGGACACCTCAAGGACAGAAGGAAGGGAAGAAGAGCCACAGTTTAGTCACAGGAGTGGTGGACTCGCACGCTGCCAACACTGGATGCTGTGGCTGACAGCACCTTTGCCAGTTCTGCCCCTTCTCTTGTGCTGTGCATTATGGAGAACCCTAAACCTGTCAGTGCACACTATATAATAACTTCCCTCCCAAACACAACTGCATGGTTAAGCCAGCAGCAGCTTATTATTCTAGTCTAGTGACTGCCATGGATCTGGAGAGGAGCAAGGACACTGTCAAGGCGCTCTGATATACTGGCCATGATTGAGGGGACATCACATGGCACATACCATTTCCTCAGCAGCCCATCTAGACTTCGTGCTGTTACTGTTTCCTGCTTATGTGCTCTTAACAGGGCTGTGACAGCCCATCTATAGCCAGATGCACCCTTTATGAAGATGCATCTCTTTCCTAAGGAAGGAGAATTACAACACTACTTCTTTAACCGTTGGTTTGTTTTCCCTCTTAGGTCGAAAAAGAACAATTTACACCAAGAAATATAAAAGAACAAGATGAAATGGAGTTTAGATACTGCAGCATTGAGCTAAAAATATAAATCGGTAAAAATGTTCTGAGATAGCAACAGTTTTCATTTACAGGGTCTGAGCCAAATACGAACGAGTGGTCTAGAAGCCAAAAATTTGCAAACATCCTATTTCCAGGCCCTTCCAGTTCTCTTTTAACAAGGCAAAAAAGTACAAAACAGAGGCCTTAGGCTGGAGGATTATGCCATTCTGCTGTAACCACAAAAATGTTAACTTAATCAAGAAAAAAAAAAAAAACAGTTTTTACAGACAAAGAACTTTTTTCTGCATGTGTTCACACTGGCCCTGTAAAAGAGAATTAAAATTCCATCCTTCTATAGCATCCCTACATAAAACAGTGTCTATATTTGACCACAGTTTAGTTGCACTATTTATTCTTCGATATCTGTCACGTGGGTCATGTTACATTACTGCGTTAACCCCCTAATTGCTGACAGCTGTAACATACACAGCAGAAACATCTGCATCTGCTCCAGTACAGATGAACCCAGTTTTCCAGCTGCAGCAAAACTGGTTCTTCTGGCCTTATTCTGGGTATCTCCCTTCCTTAACTTGTAAGGATGGAAGGAAATGACAAAATAAACATAGAAATAAACAACATGATTTAAAAAGCAAGGGATGGATCATTCAAGGGACAGATTAGAGGACAAAGCTTCTCCTCTCAGCAATCAGCTCAAAAAAAGAATCAAGCTACTCTGCTAGAGAGCAAGAACTATTATTTGATAGTCAGAGACTTACAGGAATGTAGCCTCAGTGCATTTGTCAGTAATTTTTTTTTCTCCAATTTGCTTTCTGCACCTCAACTTTGCTGAAGATGGCTGGGCTCGAGAGGACACAAAGATGTGAGAGCTGAATTCCTCATTGAGCATCCTGTCTGCAGCAGGCTCGGGAAACGTCGGTTGCTGTTACAATTTGTACATCTGTTCTCATGTTACATATGTTACAAAGCTGCTTTACTGCTGACTTGCCTCATTGCTACAAGAGCTGGCTGGAATCGTGACCTGCACTGATCCCAAAAGCTGAATGCCTGAAAAGCAGGGTTCACTCTTCACTTACTCATCTCCTTCAGGGCAGATTCCCGTGGTCTCATCATACTTGGTACAGTAAATGTCAGGGCTGTAGTTAAAGGTACCATCCCGGCGACGGATAGATCGGCGACGACGCTGGTTGACAAAGTGCCAGTGGAAGCAAGTGTAGGGCCGGTGCTGGGTGCACTTGTGCTGCACAAAGAGAGGGCACTGCTCCGTGCGAAACTCCTTCAGGTAACTGCGGGCAGAGAGAAGGGGTTAGGAGGCTGGTCGGAAGCAATATCCAATTCCCCTGAAAGCCCTCGGCAAAGCAAGCAGGGTCCTTCCCACACCAGCCCCTGCTCCGCTCTCAGCGACGGGACTGGAAGCTGCTGGTTTTCTGCACGGGGAAGTTATCGGTTGCCAGGCCGGTTTACCCAAACACCAGAGCAAAAGGCAGCAAAAAAAATCACTTGCTATTGGGTCTTTTGACATCATTTCAAAGCAGGTCACAAGAAGCTTAGTGAGCTTGTGAGAAAATAGAAATAGATAAAACAGGACTTGGAGATCTGTCACCAAATAGGAGACGCATGTTCCCTTGAAGAGGCTCAGATTAAAGAAAAGAACAAAAAACACACACACACTTCCTTATAGTCATGTTACATTTGCCATGTTTCAACCTATTGAAAGAAAAAATACTGTAAAAACTATTATTTTACCCCTTGTCCTCATGTCTTATCTTTGCTTCTCCTTCACCCAACCCATTCTCTCCTGCAATCCTCTGAATTCAGGATTCAAGCTTGAAAAACTGAGATATCTACTCTCAGACTATGGATGCTTGTTTTGTTACTTACCAAAAATGGCTTGATGGCTTCTCCAAAATGTTTATGTCTTTTTTTATCCCGAGAACTAAAGAAGTCACAAGCTCTTATTTGTGACACTAATAACAGTCCCTAAACCCAGATTGAAAAGGATTACAAAATGATTTAGACTGATATAGCGATCTGACTACGATCTGGGGATAGGTGCTTACAAAACCCACATTGCCTGAAACCCGGGAGTTGTCCTATATATAGGGAACATAAAAACAGTTGGACCAGATTAGATCCGAACCCCACGGGGTTAGAGCTTCTCGGAGATGGCTCCAAGAGCAACACAGGAGGCCCCGAGCAGGCAGATGGGGGTAAGTGCTCCCTCAGCAAGTCACAGTCTGGTCTTTTTTATGTTTATAGATAGGTTCAAATGGTGAACAACAAAATTTGTTGGTCACAATAAAAGTGCAAATGCTTTGCTGGAAGCACCAGGACGATAAAATAGCAGACACGGACTCATTTTGAGCTCCGTATTCCAAGACGGCTGTGCTCCAAGGCAGCAAAATGGAATACAAGGAATTTGTCAGGTATTCACTCCAATCTCAGACGATCTTTCTATCTTGTTTCTAAATGAATGAAAAAGAAGTCTGATGTCTCGGGATGTATTAACAGATAATATCATGCTAGACTCAGTCTAAGAACAGCAACTGTAAATAAAACATCCTTTCCTCTTTAGCCTGGCTAAAGACAAAGCCTCAGGAAAACGCATCGGTTCAAGCAAAGCGCTCGCTGTGAGCAGAGCATCTCCCTGGCAGGGAGAGCTTTCCCAAACAGGATTTTTGCAGGTGTGAACGGATGAAAGCTCTGCCTCCTCTTTAGCCTTCGAACATGCAGGACTCGCAGGTTTCACTGCCTGGCAATGGATCTGTGGCACTTGGGGCTTGGAGAGCTTCCAGGGATGACTCCAAGCCGCGTCCATCTGTCCCCCGCAATCCTAGTACCGGCTCCGAGGCCTGGTGCCCAACATCACCAAATTGCTAACCCATGTCCAGAAACAAGCCTGCCTGCTATAGGTGACACCACCACTTTCTTTTCATGTTTAAAAAAGCTGGATACATTGGAGATCTGTACTCCAAGCGCAGCAACTACTCACCAGAAAGCTGAACGCCACTGTGCAGTTAATCAGTGCTGAAAAACTTTCTGTGCTGTCGGACCCAGCACAGTTGTACGGGATGAAGCTGTGCAGAATATTTTATCTTATCCACATGCTAACAAGACTTAAAGCAAAAGTGACTGCATCAACGTTTAGGCTAGAGAGCAACTGAAGCAAACTCAAGCAGTATGATCACAGTTGCCTATCGATGCTCTTCATCCATACATCTCCATGGACATCTTACAGGGATGAGCCTTACGCTGCTCCCGTTTTACCTACGGAGAAATTGTAACGCAGGCCAAGTGCCCTGTCTGATAACACAGGGCACCCAGAGCCAGAACAGAGTCCAAGAGCCCCTGAGCTCCTGCATCTTCACCCAGTGACCCAGAGTCTCCTGGGCCTAAGTCGAGGCACCCTGAATCTCTTTAATGCTCTGGAAGCAAAGGAAGCCATGAGACCTAAACCCCGATAGTATCAAACCCAGCACTTCAAATTTCCAGCAACAAGCATGTACGAGACTGCTAAAAAACAAAACTAAAACTTAATAGCTTGGGGAAAGGAGCTGAAATAGTTTCCCTTTTGCAGGAGAGCTTAAAAACAGACATGCTGACCAAGCATCTTAGCCTCTGGAGGGTTAGGTGTTGCTGAAGAGCATTTGAAAATTAATTGCATTTTATGATTGGCTAAATTCCCTAGAGAAACATTTATTATAATGTAAATGAGAGATAATTACATAAGTAAATGGTTCACCTGAAAAGTGTTTAACATCTAACTTGCTTCATCAGAAAGTCATTCTTTAATGCTATCTATTAAATAAATGATCTCTCATTCACTCTTAATTCACTCTTAAAGCAAGCCCTGCAAGCAGGAACCATGGAGCTCCACACCAACATATTAAATGTGCATGAGCATCTCTGGGACACAGAGCAGCAGTGGAAAACTAGGGTAGTCACATTAAATCACACATTTCTAGCCTTTCAATCACCAGTTTGGGTGCAAGTTTTGAAATGCTTTTTTTCTTTTTTTTTTTTCTTTTATTTTTTCCAAGGCAACAGAACATTTTAAATCATCCTTTTCTACACCAGCATGAATGGTAAAATGCCTCTGCAGCCCTATATTTTCTTGATCCATTAAGTGAGTTTTAGCTCCTTTGGGAGAATATGGAACACGGGCCACTCAACCAGCCACTTTGTATTAAAATATATTGAGAGACATCTAAACCACATGTGTTTGGGGAATGTGGAAAGGATATACAGAGTGTGCTACTGCAATGTGATGGCTCACAAAGCCCAGTGCTATTAATATTTCAGCAGTCTCTTTGCAAAGGCTCTAAACAGAAATGCTGAAAGGGCTCTTGTGATAGATCCTTATGGTATGGAATGGCCTCCATAAATTCTTTTCCCAGCTGAGAAATGGAGTTTTTGAATGACCCCTAAAATTAAAAATATGTTGACAACTTGTACATACTTCACAGTGTATCAGCCAAAAGCTGTGTCTGCACAGGAAGAAGAAATCTGGCAGAGCTAAGTTGCATTTCTCAACTCCTCTCTAAAGATCTCAGGAAACTCTGCAGCCCCCACAAGAGTGCATACAAATTACTAAGTTATTTCAGATACAGATTATTTCTGTATTTGCTAAAACAAACAAACAAATCACTAATCAGTTCTGTGTTATTCTACTTGTGTTATCTTTACTGTTCTTTATTTTGTATGGATACATATATGACTTTTTAATCCTCATAATTCTTTAAAAGGAGAAAGCACGCTGCTCTTATCATTTTCTTCTGATACTACCAAGAGTCAAATACACCAAGTGATAAACAACATCAACAGCAACACCCAATTCCTGGAGGGAACATGACCATTTACCATTCCTACTAAACAAAGACAAATGCAGTTCTAAACAAACAGGACAAGACTGTCAGAACAAAGCAGATCAAAAGTCACCAGGCTGAGCTGAACTTGCTGCTGAACAGGAATGACACTACCATAAATTAAAGTTATTTCAGGAAAACGAGGGGAGAGAATCTCAAACTAGGTTGGGGAACTCCCAGAAACTAATGGGAGCTGCAAGTTGTTTAAAAACAAACCAAAAACCTCACTACTTGGCTGAAATTCCACTTCCTCTGGGGTGGGAAGGGAGAAGGACAGTAATTCCTCTCCGGAACTGCTAACTGTCTTTGAGTGCCAGCAGCAGCTCTGCTTTCGGGTCAGGGCAGCAACATTTACATCTGCAACAAGTTCCCACTGTGCCCTGGAGGAATCAAGCTGCGATCTGCAAGGAGAAAAAATGAGCAAGAGATCAACCGCGCTTCCAAACAGCACCACAAAACAAACTGGAGCCCCAAACCAACCCCCGAGCTCCAAGCTTGGAGCTTTGTTCCTGAACTCCGCAGCTGCAGCCATATCCATCCTCTGCTGCCACAGAGATCCCTGCTTTGCCCCAGCGCTCCGGCTCCGTGGTGCAGGACACCTGAATCCGCAGCGTTCCAGGGCTCCGTGTTTGCTGCCAAGCTCAGCCCATGTCACGCATGCCCTGGCATGAGCTCAAATCAGAAAACGCGCTGCTGGCGCACCAGAACAGCTGAGCTCTAAATTCCTTGTGAAAAGCCTTCCCCAAAGCTCCCTGGAATTACTGGAAGTCTCGCGCTGAGGCCAAGAGAGAAACTGCTGAAATCTCAAATGGGGGAATCGGGAAAACTACAGCGAAAAGCATGGAAATTAAAGGAGAAAAAAACAACCAAAAAACCCCACTCTCCTAAACCATCATTCTCCCCATCACACAGAGCCAGGCCCTCCTTTCCTTCCAGCATCCTTCCTGTGCCACTCCACATCTTTCCGCAGGCCCCAAGACGAGCTCCTCTCCAGTCCTTCTTACTCCTCCCCGTCAAGGCTCTTCCTGCCAAAATTCCTCCAGGGCCCAAAGCGAGTGCCTAGGCCTATAAACAGGCTCCAAATCTTCCGTGGCAGCGTGACACCAGCAAGAAAGGCATTAGATAATTGACTAATCCAGACTAAGACGCTGCCTGCAAAAGTAGGACAGTAGTGAGATTTAACACCATTGTCATCTAGATTTCACATGCGTGTGGGTGTGTGTTTACACCAGCCAAATTACGCTAAGGAAGCCTTAATGATCAGCACAAGAAGCGCCAGTGCAGTGTATCCCAATGCCAGAAGAGAGCAAATTACGGCCACTTTTTATACTAGGAGGGCAGGTTCGTGCTCAAAGCGCCGGGCAGCATCAGCGCTGCAAGAAAGGAACCCAGAGGGCTGAAGGCCAGGTCGTGTTCACGCAGCGCCGGGTCTGCTCGCTCCTGCAAAGTCCAGGCTAGCACAGACACTTCGTTCAGGCCCATGTTAGTCGTTCCAAACTAATCAAATATTCCAAACAAAGATTCTTCATACTAGCCTACTCAAAAAGTGCCCCGAGGTAAATCTAACTGGGAAAACTGCAAAAAAAGGGGGGGAGGGAGGGAAAGAAAAGAAATTGCTCTTCTGCCATCACCCTTTATTTCCATCCCATTTGTCTTCCCTTCCCAGCACAGTAAATTATACTGGCAAAACCACAATTTTATCAGCACAAAAGCACATGCTAGGGGCTTTCGCTGACACTTTTTCCCATCGCTCTCATCCTGCTGTTTCAGACAGCCCTGCAAGAGGCAGTGCCACACGCAGACCTTTCCTATGGTCTCAGATGGTCCCAGGCCACTTCAGCCGGAGACGGGAACCCTCCTGTGCCTACGGCTGCCCGAAGGAGACGCGTCCTCGCTCTTAGCTGGTCACCAGCTCCCATGTGCTGCAAGCTCCTATCCTCGCCGAGCGCTGCGGACAGCAAACTGCCAAGTGTTCCTACTTCAATTTAAGAAAAAGAAGCATAATAAAATCACTAGTTTAACTTTATCTGCACTCATTTAAACTTGGAGGCTATCTGAAGCAAACCAGCGAGCGCTTACCCAGCTTGCAGAGTAGGCAGCATTGCTAAACCCAGGGGAAAACATCTAACCATAGATACAGATGTTTCCAATTTAATAACCCTCATCTATTAAAAATATTTTTAAAGCTGCTACTTTTCTTAAGCTCAAAGACCCAGCCCAACACAATAGGAAGAGAGCTGTCCATATTTAATCAGCTAAATTCATTTCACCCCCACAAAATTTTATTGCAAAAGATGATATCAGACACACTTTAAGTAAAGAAACCCCATGACTCAATTACTTTCCTTTCCTGAACTGTGGTATTGCAATTGAAATGAGTCAGTGGTGCATGACAGAATCTACTTATTCCAACAGGATACTCAATAAAAACCCTGCTAACACACCTTTCGTTTAACGTATCATGACTGATACAGAAAAAAAAAATATGATACTCAGCTTTGACATTGCTCGGAGATTTTGCTCTAAGGGCAAAGAGGATATTCCAGAATAAGGCGGGGGGATGAAGAGAGAGATTTAAAAAATAGCATAATTCCAAAATAATTTGGACAGAATAGATATTCTGGAAGAGCTATTCAGCCATTTTTTTACATGGCAACTCCTTATAACACCCTTATGCATCTCGGCAAATCTGCAGGGCTACTAGAAGGTGCCTTTTGTAAACCTTGAAAAGGCCAGAAAGCATTTGAACCTCAAGGAAAAATAAATGCATCCCTTTATGAAAACAAAAGGCCGACTGTGAACGTCGGGAAGGAGAAAAGGATGAGGAGAAAGTTTCAGTAAGCTCGCATCTGTCAAGAAGATGGACTTCACATGCCTCACTGTTTTCTTTATCACCTAAATAAATTGAACCATCAACTGGAAAAAGGTCACACGGCAGACAGCACTGTGTGATTTTAAAGCTGTTAGATTTCCCCTTCTCCATTAGGGTTTGACAATAATGTCAGTCTAAGGGCAAACACAGAAGAAAAAGTCGAGGAGACTTATTGCAAATGCATGGATTTGGGCTCGCTTTGCTGTGTTTTTGTTAGTTGGTTTTAAAATTCACATAATTCAGGGGGAACTCAGTCATCACTACGGCAGTATCAGCTTATCAGCTCTCCCAGTTTTCACAATGGAAATAGTGGGGAAATAGTAGAAAGTTCGACTCACTTGGGTTTCCCTTTTTCTAGGCATCCGATTAATTTTGCAAGTCAAGTCAAGCTGGAGGCCTACAAATAAATTCCAAGGGACAGTGTGCATTACAGAACCCAAAGCACAGACTCTAGATTACAGAAAACTACAGTTAAAACACAATAGCCATATTCAACACTAACCCAATTGCCACTGCATCTCTATCTTTGGATTTCAGAGTGTTAACGTGGGGTGGACAAGGATGCACCTCATCGACTCTGCCTTGAGAGAACCACCCTGTTACCACTTCATAGATAAGAGCTCAACCAGAGCAACTGCAAAAGGCCAAGCTAAAAATAACACGTGTCAACCCGTTATCGCAAATTCTGAGTGAAAAGAAATGTCATTGACAAACAACTGCATCTTGTCTCTACTGACCAATCAAGGAAAAACAAAACCAAAAGAGATAAGTATCATGCCAAGCAATCAAGGAAGAGAGGCTTGCACAAATGTCAGGGTGAATATTTTATGTTTCCACCATCATAGCCAGAAGTAGCTTTATTTTGAGAGAAAGACACTGTGTTTAAGCAGCTTACCGAAGCTTTATTTTAATGAGGAAAGAAAATTGGTGCACGAAACTAAGTTTACTCAACAGAAATCCAGGCATTTATCACATCTGTGAAGAGGCAAGACACAAACTTCCCCGAATGACACTGTGAGAGTCTACGGGTGTCACAGGAAAGAGGATTTTGTTCAGCCCGCACCTGGGCTGTGTATCCCTTAGGCATACAGAGTTGTGCTGCTCAAACCCGGCGAGTAAAACGATTTGAGCCATGCGTTCTGGCTGCGTGCACTCTTAAAAGAGCACAAATCTGTCACGTCAGTGGACCATGAGATGTACGTGACCAATAAAAATCCATTTTTAAGCGCCAGTGTGTGCACACAGAGATTTTGCCTTTTTAATTAAAACAATCCAAGCACAGGCATTGCAAACACTTAGCTGTATTGCATTTCCGAGAGGTGTCCTTAAGAGCCATTTAGGTGGATCCAGACCTCTGCATAAAGCCTTACTTTACGTTTCCTCCAGTTTGATCTCTTTTTCCCTAATTAGACAGGAGCACGGATTACTTGACATGACCTTAACATTAACTAAGCATTTACACAGTTCACTCAATGTTTTCAGAGCACATCGACTTTTGCCAAGTCTAAATGACATTTAAATTTCAATTCAGCACTGTTAGTTTCTGTAAACACCAGAGCCTAAAAAGCCTCCCTATTTTCAAGCAGGGCTCACCTCCAACTCAGACACCCCTCATCCGCTTGCAGGTTGGTTTCTGCTCTACAAACTATTTAGCTGCCATTAGTTCTTTCCTGCTGCACCTCTGGAAGTGCTGAGTTTAGGAAAAGTGGATCGTATCGAAAACACGGCTTTTCAATAAAATGTGAATCGAGACTATTTGTTTTGGTGACGTGAAAATACTGCAAGTTATTGAATCTGGACAGCTGTAGGCTAGTGAAAATTTACACCTGGTTTGTCAGCACAACGAATGAATGTGTTTAAACAGGAGCAGTTTATTTTACTGGTAATTACGCAGTGAAAACATCCATCCACAGGCTTATCTGTTATGGTCATTTATTTAGGTTATATATTCATATAAATTTTCTGTTTTACATGAACTGGATCAGGTTAATGATGTTCCTTTATTCGAGCTTCTTTAGCATTTGCAGCATCTCTCAAGCTTGTGGAGAAAGCCCAGAGTTAAAATGGAGTTAACACACGTCAGATTTGCTGGTCTAGACTACACTGAATTAAAGGCTGAATGATATACAGATGTCCTGTGCTGTATAAATTAAAATTCCAGGTTTTGAAAGTAAATAAATTAATCGTACCTCTCCCCATTGATATAATCAATGATAAAGCTACCCAGGGCTACCAATCGTAGAAATGCTAGGGAAGGGCTGTTTGAAAACTTGTGCCACTCACTCTGCTGGTTCCCTGAAGCAAAACATCTCGCGTGCAAGCATTTGTAAAGGCTAATTCAGAAAAATCCTCTTTCCATAAGACCCATCATATCACCCTGATTTTCAATCAACAGATTTTTTTATGAGCATTTTTCAATCTCCATTATCATGTTGCACAGAGATGTTTCCCAAACAGAAGCACAGGAATCTTTCTCCTCCCAACCATGTCGAGAGCCTCCATGGTTTAACACGCAGCACACACCAACTGCAGCCCCATACGTGCAGCAGCTTTAACACATTGCACAAACTATTTGAAGGTCTAGACTTATGCTGAACCAAAAACATAAATCCAAAATTCCACTAGAAGTGACTGATCTATAGTGCTCTAATCCAGACTAATCCACATTTGAAAATGAAATGCAATCTGCCTCTTTTCAGGTTAAATGCCAACCAGATTTGCAGCAGCAGCCTCTTTGGAAAGACTTGCATTTGTGAACAGACATTTTCTGTTGCAAGTCTGGAACAAAACATGGTGATTAGCCAGCAAGCATGAACCTGCATCGTCTAACATTTGTGCCAGCACAAAGACAACAGCCAACTCTTACCAGCTGATTTTAAAGAATCAATGTTAGCCATTCCACGGATTTGCTTTTCCATTCGGCACACAAATCATGCTGTACTTGTGTCTGCTGCAGCCCAGTGGACTCCTTCAAGACTCCAGAAGGAATGTGCACCTTGGAGTGAAAATACTGCACAAGGAGACTGGTCCAAAGGAGCATCATTATACAACGCCATGCCAGACTCCACACAGGTACAATGACAACATCCATGTGTACATTAACTCTTCTGCACCAAGGAGAAGACGGCCAAATCCACAGATACACCAGAATTCTAATTTTCCATTTTGACTAACAAATAACTGAATAAACCCAATGGCACTCTTCAGATATTTTAAGCTTGCAATCATGTTTTGTACTGCTGAAAAGCTGCACAACTGCCCTGGGGCACCTGGACTGTTTTTGTTTCTGTTATTATCATAACATTCAACTGCTGTCAACAAAAGTTAACAGAGAGAGTTAAAGGGGAAAACATGGACTTCTGAGCACATCAGGTATGGATTGACGGACAGCCTTTTTCTAAAGTGTAGCCACATGCTGAAGATGAAGACTAAGTAAAACAGGACTGACTTAAGTTAGCTTTTTTGGAAGATATTCATCGAGTATAGACTCAAGAAATTATTCCCTCCAATATATGCACAACTACTTATTAATCTAAAAGGAAATTCTGAGCCTAAAAAAAGAATCCGACTCTAATTTTTCACTGTGATTAACAGAGAAATAATTCTTACT